CAGAACCCAGTTTAAGATAAACCTGAATCTATGCAGTATGAAACTTATTTGATTTTGGTCAAACTGGTACATGGAACTTCTGTAGACTTTCCCTATGCAACGCTGGGGCTGTGCTCAGTCACTGGCCCAAGCCCTGGGGCTGTCCTTTTTACACCCTCCCCGCACTGGGCTATTTTATGCTGCCCCCCAGCCCCTTGCTGCCATACTCCTCCCAATCAGCTAGCCCTCTCAACTCCCATCCCACAACCCGCTTGGGGTGTAGCCACTTTTATCAGTGTTCACCACTGCCGGAGCCAAGCAAATCCTGGTGGGGGGAGGGACAGGAGGGATGGGGGTGTAAGTTCCTTTGAAGCATTCCAAAAAATGAGGGTAGAGATGCAGACAGCCCAAGAAGCACTTTAAGAATTGCCTAAGTGCATAAAAATTACCATAAAAAGTGATGGACATCTTTGAAGCACTTCCTGTTGAACAACCTCCTGAAAGGTCTTTGTGCTCAAGCAATCCTTCAGCATTCCACAGTGCCCTGCTCCCCACCCCATGCGAGAAGGGGAGGCAGATGGACAATCAATGAATGCTCTCCTGTTCGCTTGGTTGTCTTTGGGAACCCTCTGATAACAGACTGAAGCATGCAGGGAATCATGCTCTCTAGTCCCCTGGCTGGAGAAGTGTGCCACTGCATGCTTCTGCAGCCATTTTGAAGTGCTTCAATGACTTTGAAGTGATCTGGGATTCAGAGCACTTCAGCTGCATGTCTGCCCATGGCTTTAGATTCTCTACTGCAATTTGGGGATAATACTTGCTGTTGTCTCCCTCACCAGGATGTTGTAAGATATTTCTAAGATGTTCTAAAGATTATTAATAATTAGTACTTTTAGTAAGTATTGTTACATCCCATCCAAATGTACTTACTATTAGACCAACTGTCTAATTAACATGGATGGAATTCATGTGTGGTGATTATAATCAGTAATTCTCAGAGTGCTGCAGTGCCCCAGGATGTCATGAGGTGCCACACAATTTTTAAGGGTGCCACACAATATTAGTGCTGTGAAATTTAAAATGGACTCCACAATGTCAAAAACATTCTGACCTATAGAGGCTTTTCTGAGTTCTCTGTAGCAAAAAAATTGTTCTACTATTTTTCCCTAGTCATAAACAAGTGAAACTAAGAGGTGGCATTTGCTGAGAGGTATCTTGACTATCAAAAGGTTGAGAACCACTGAGTTGCATCAATCCCAAACCGTGTGTGATTTTCACTTATACTTCAAAAGGTTAAATTAGTTCAAAAGGAACAGAAGAATTGGTAAGAAACAGGAAAATAAAACCTGATTTTTCCATAAAATATTTTTCCTCCCCGGAGATAATTGGGTTTTTTCCCATAAAACTTTTGAAGGCGGTTGATCGAAACGCTATTGATCTTAAGCAATACCCAGAAGATTATCAACATATATTTTTTGGGGGGTGGGTGAGTGGCAGCACTTTGACAGAAAGTCACTTAAAATCACTCACTGGGTCCTGTGGCTATATTTTAATACCTTTCTAATATTATCTTGCTATCTCTGAAAGCCTTACATATATTTCTCTAATATCTTTTAATTGATTTTTTTGTGATTTCTACCACAATTTTCCAGAGTAGTGATCCTTTTTTTTTTTTTTTTTTTTTTAAACTACCTTTTGGTACAT